AAAAAAAAAAAGAAAAAAAAGAAAGGCAACAAATCAAGCCAGGGTGAGATCATAAAAGTTATGAAGGAAACAAAAAAAGTCGCTGGGGAGACAGTGCAAGACAACTTGAACGTGCAAGTGTCACTCCCGGGGTGTTTCTAGTTTCTCTTTCCCTCCTAGAGAAATGCCAAACTACTGATAGGTGGTGAGATGTACAACAGAAAACCAGCTGTGAGAAAAAAAAGGGAAAGAAAAAAAGAATCACAATCTTGCATAAAATAAAACTGACCCAAGATGTGGAAAAGAAAAGCAAATGATAAAGACCTTCAGGTGTCAGCGTGTACAGTGAGAGGATCACTGCGGTGCAAGTGTGAGCCTTCACCTTCTCACTAACACAGTCATGGATATGAAAATGAAACTAAGCTACGGGGACGGAAGGCACTGCCAGTAAACCGCATTAGCATCAAATGCAAATGAGAAGGGGGCTAATGGCTGGACAGGTGCAGACTGGGCCTCTAAATGACACACACACACACACACACACATATTTGCAGGCACACGCACACACACACACACACACACACACACAAATGAGATGGATGAATTAAACATGGGTGGGCTCTGCTTGGGGGGCTGGCAGGGCTGACATAAAGTCAATGACATACATTATTCACTAGTGCACGTTAGCCCAGCCAAGGCAACACATGACCTCTCACCCCAGGAAGTGCATCCAAACATAACAACCAAAACAATAAGGGGGTTCCCTGCTTGCAAGAGAGGGACCTGAGATAAACTAGCCATACATGAGCCTGGAAAAATGATGTGTTTAAAAAAACGCTGACCCGATGTTTATTTGTGGTTTATTTTAAGCAAAGGTGTAGACCCGACACAGCTGATAGGTGAACCAAAACCTGGTTCACAAGTGCTAACTACCCACCGTGAAGCTGAGGAGTCAGCCTGTTCCACTGGCTCAGAGAACAGGAAGCTGTCGGCCATGACATCACCCTCCCCGGGAGGAGCACTTCCTGCCCGACATTCTTCACTCAAGACACACACACACTTGTCAGGAAATGGCCTCTATCAAAACACACACTCGCTCCTGGGGAAATAACCAACACTGATGCGGATACACAAGCACAGACACGCATGCGAGGAAATGGGCCACATCAACAGCGGGCTGCAGGAGTGTGTGCAAAGGCAAACACACCAACACACCCTCAAAAAAAGAAAAGAAAAAACAGCAATAAACCTGAAATAACATTGTCTGTACATGTAAACTTGACACCGCTTTGTGCCCCTCCTGGCATTGCAAACGGAAGAGGGATTGCGGGCTACGCATGATAACCAGTGGATTCTTATCGCTGGTCACAGAGTGTTTCTATCCCACCCCTCCAGAGAGGCTCTCCCAGCCTCGGGGACACCCTGCAGCAGGCCTATGGGAGCTGGATGAGCAGGAAAGGGCTACAGGACACAGGTGGTAAGAGGCAGGAGAGGACACATGGTGCTGGAGGGATTGCCATACCCCCTCCACTGCAAATAGGGCTGACACATTTGTCCACAATTATACCAAGTGCATATACTAAAATAGTTCAGTGAGAAGACAAACATAAGACTCAGAGAGAGGGAGGGAGAGAAAAAAAGCTTTACATGGGTGAGAGGGAAATGTGTTTGTGATTTGGGGCCCATCAGGGCACGTGATAGAGCGATCATACACTGTGGCTGAATACGATTAACCCCATGCTAACCGAGAGTGATGGGGAGAAGTGGAAGTGGAGGTTTAGGGGTTAAGGGCTCCCCCTCATATTATCCTGCTTCTGTAAGAGGCTAAAGTGGACCACACATGTTTCCCTGGGGAGCAGAAGCACAGGAGCATCACACCTTTCAAATGCTTCTCCTGCCCAGTGTCAAGCACAGACTCAATGTGTCATGTCAAGGTCTGACTGAATTTCCAAGAACTCGCTGCTACTGAGGTTAAATACATGAAATATGGCACGAGTTGCTTTCTTCTTCTTCTTCTCCTTCCTCAGCGCTGATCCACATCAGACAGCAGAGAGAGAGATGACAACGCGAGCCACGATAGTCCTAAATCAAAACAGCCAAGAAAGCGGTACAGATTGGCGTCGCGTTAAAGCGACTCCTGCCTAAACAAATACGCTTCTTAACAAAAAATCTGAAGCATATTGCTCCTCGTAGATGCTTTAAAGCCCAAACAAATTCTCTTTTCAACAGAGGGGGTGGGTGGGGACGAGATAAAGAAAGGGCTGAGACTCTCCCGGTGAGCGGGTACAGTACCCAAAAGCGTTGCCAATCTACACTGTACCAGATTTGTTCTCCTAACAATCAAATAAGTTTCTCATTAGCTGACTTTATTTTTCCTCATTCCCGTGGTTTTGCTGCAGTGGCCTGTTTCTCCAATCTTAACGAGAGAGAGCTAATTAGGCAATCAGACCCATTACTCTTCCAGAAGAGTTAGAGCTAGCCCAGCTAATTAGGGCTGTAAAATCTAATCATCTCTGAGAAACAGCAGAGGGCTAACGAGCCCTTATTTAACGAACTAAATAACTTCAAGGGTGGAGAGGGGCTGCTGATGGTATTTCTTTATGAATTTGAAGGAGGGGAGCTCATGGTAATTGAGTCAGTTTCAGCCTCACAGTTGTTTGTTTGTTTATGAATCCCTGATTATTACAATTGCCAAGAATATATTGGTACTAAATGAGCAAACGCATAAACCCTCCTCTGCTTAATCCCCTTTGCCCCCCCCCCCCCTTTTAAAAACTAGCTACCCCCCCCAACCTTTCCTAACTGCTCTCCTCTCACCTGACCTATTTTGCTGTCCAGAAAGAGTGCTCGCTGGAGAGGAAAACAGAGATATTGCTGTTGTTTTCTCTCCCCCTGTTCTAATTTGTTGTTCGTTAATGCTGCCCTCACACCTGAGCCATCAGGCGTCGGGGGAATACCGCCAGCGAGCGACCACAACACATGCTCAGTGTTGGAAAAGCTGTTGGCGGGAGGATCAGGCCGCTTCACTTAAGGCTGGTCGTGCTCAAACCGCGGCAAACCCAAAGAAAAAGTTTTCACATGGCGTCCGTGAAGACGGAGCAACGGAGCGTGCAGATGAGAAATTCAACAAGTATGCACACATGAAAAACAAAAATCAGAAATATGGCACAGAGTGATGGGCAGGCGTGTTGTCTGAGGCCACGTGGTGGGGTGCAGCTGTCTCAGGGAGCGCTGAGGTGAGGCCTTCTGCTTCAGTGGAGCGGAACAAGGGTGGCGCATGCACACACACAAACTTGAACACACATAAATATATATATTTATATATATATTTATGTACACACACACTCGCACAGGTAAAAAAGTAGCTTTCCACAGAGCAGCAGTGAGAACGGGACAGCTGTGTTCATCAGATAGCACAGGTCACTGCCTCATTAACACTCACACAAATACACTCAAATGTGACAAATTCAAATCAGACATCAGATAGACTACAATCTGCCTCATTTTACCCAATGACGCAGTGGCTAGGACATAGTTGAATATCAGAAAATACATTCCAAATTCCTTCATGGAAAGTCTCTTCAGCTCTCTTTAAGTCCTGATCAGAACCGCCTTAAATCTGCACGAACAAGAACAGCTCGAGTACGAGCAAAATACCTTCCCTCGTCCTCCCGCGTGCCACACGCACACACATGGCAGAGGCCGGACAGTAAATCTCTCTGACTATAAATCCTGCAAGCTGCTGCATCAGTCAGAGGTAGTTTATGACAGCAGAAGAAAGGCAAAAGACTGTGAGTGTGTAAAAAAAAACAACCCAGCTAACAATAGCCATCCACGAGTGAGATTTATACACAGAAATACACACACCAGAGCGTATAGTAGCTGTAACCCTAACTGCTCATCAGCTAAGTCATCAGCACGACCACACAAACGCTGTTTGACCACACTTGAAGCCGAGCTCGACTGCTCCGTGATTGCTCCTCCACTTCACGCACGCAAACACACTAACACAAACACACAGCTGGAATATAATTTACTGCCGTTTCACACTTTCTGCTTACACAGACAATTATGGCTGCTCAAAAAACCCCAGAAAACAACCTGTGGCTGCTTTATTAGGCCTGCAGGTTGCAATTTCTCAGCCAAATCACATGTCAAAGACCCCTTCCAACTGCTTTCTTTCGCTAAAAATTGAAATGGCTTCTCGTCATGCTTTGTATGTTCTGCCATTATTTACTGCTCCTGTACTTGGCCCACAGCGCTTGTTTCACACACCCCTCCACAGTTATACCTGCTGCACTTGTGTTTGCGGTGACAGCGCATCATCGTGCCGGGGTCAAAGGGCAAAGTTTGCTTACCTGTCGATGATGACAGGGTCTGATGGGGTCTCGTTCCTGTTGCCACAACTCTTCTTATCGCAGCATCGACTGCAGGGGATGGAGATGAGACAAAAAAAGGATGGGGGGTTAGTCACCTGGATGCAAACAGCAGCGAGAGCAAGATAAGGTGCAGCATTAAGGGGAGAAGAAAGCAGATGAGCATATAGGAGAGGGATGTGGGAGTAAAGGGGGCGTGAGACTTTTGTGGAGTTCAAGAGGAAGCATGGGTTGGATTTCTGTTTAGCTTGTCAAGGTAAGACTGGGGCTTTTGCACTACAGTAGGTGAGATCAGCCGGGCGATTTTTAGGCAAAGTTTGGAGGAGAATGGGAAAAGCGGCGAGCTTGAATGGGACTGGATAAAAACTTGAATTAGCCTCCAGGGCTCAGGTTAGCTCCATTTCTGTCAGACATCACAAAACCAGACATCTTATGTTCTCTATTTTTCCTCAGTGCTCGTCCCCTCCCTCTATCCCGCCTCTCTCCCTCTCTCTCTCGCTTGTTCTTTCTCTCTCTCAGAAGTGGGTCACAGAGTGGTCCCACTGGACCTGGAGAGTAGTGCATGCCGGGTAGAAGGGGGTTGCATACTGATGTGACGACTCCTTTCTGAATCATTTGACTGCACCGCTATGTAACAGCGTGTTGTGTGTCGTCGACACCCCCCCTTCTGTATTCCCCCCCAAAAAGTATCATTGCGTCTACCTTTCCCTCTCTTGTCTGCTCACCTGAGCCTTTGCATGTCTGTGTGTACCTGTGTCTGACTACATGCGTGCATCTACTGTATGTGTGTGTGTGTGTGTGGGAGGAGATGAAGAAAGACATCGAAGCAAGTGAGAGAAGGCTGGAGAGAGACTGACCCTCCCCCTGCTTTCTCAAGTCCCCCAGGACAAGAGGACTGGAGAGCCAGATCAGATTTCTGATCTCGACCGTTTCCTGCAGCATATGAAAACAAGTGGTCTAAATTGCCTTGTGTGATAACCAGGAAGTGTCTACACTTTGCCACTAGCCATTTTTCTCCATGCAACTCTTACATGTTCTTCTAGATGGCTGGTTTTGTAAGAGACAATCGCACGCTGTGTGATGCCTTTATTGATTGTGAATGCATGCAACGGGACTGTGAGAGTCCTCCCAGCTTACTACTTTTGACTGAGTGTGTGTGTGTCTGTATTTTATGTGTAATTTGAGTCTGTCTCCCTCTGCACATAGCTCACTGTCAGGACACAGCAAACTGCATGTATTACACAAACTGAGGAGGATGGGTTTGAGTAATGAGCTTTTCCTTGTCCTAATTAGCTGAACATGAGAGGGATGCACACGCGCACATACACACCGACACATACACGCACAACAGAAATAGGCCAGGGCCCGTCTCCCCAACCCACTTTGAGGAAAATGATAAGATTTCTATTGCAATTTAGCAGCGCTCCTCATGTCCTTGCCCCCTCTTTACACCAACAAAGACATCTTCGGAGTGAGAAATGTGGTATAAAATGCTTTGCGTTTTACCTGCACATGATCTCATGGGTCAGCAGCACCCGACACATCTCTGGATTTTTGTCCTGGCCCTCATAAACAATGGCCTAAAGAAAGGGGAGGGGGAAAGATAACAGAAAGTTAAAATGATTGTAGTTTACATTTTTTTTCAGTGGTGTATTAAGAGAAAAAAAAAGTCAAACTACGATGCAGGGGGCAAGTAAAAAACAGAAAGATGTGTGTGCATGTGTGTGTGTCTTTCATCTGGGAGTAGTGTTTGTCTATCTGGCAAATCTGTGTATCGTGGGAATCCAGTCCTCCTGAACAGGAACTCTCTGTTCTGACAGAGACAGTAAGAGCAAAATTGTTGGTGTGTGTGTGTGTGTGTGTACTACTGCTCGTGCATATGTGTTTGTGCATGCACGTATGTTTATACGTGGTGTACAGTGAGCAGTTGGACTGCCAGACTGGAGTATAGTGCACCATCTGGTCCATACAGCACAGCGTCCAAAAATCTAGTCTGGTTACCCCTCCAACCCCACTCAACATGCTCTCCAGGGCTGTGATCGCCCTGCACACACACACACACACACACACACAAACACAATCTCACACACACACACACACCCACAAACACAATCTCACACACACTCACACACGCGTGCGGGCGCCGATAAACATGCAAACACACACGCTCTCGCACAAACAACATCTCCTCCTACTCTTTTCAATCTCAGACAAACTCTCTTCAAGCCTAATGGCACCAGAGGAAGAATTGGCAAAACAAAAGACCTGATATCAAAACAGCGCTGAAGAGGCTCACTTTCTTCGTTGTCTAATTCATCCGAGCGGTGAAATCCCTCAGTAGTGCGCCAGCCCACATGAGCTGCTCTGTATTTCTTTGTGCGATTGAATTGGCAATAACACACTCTGGGATAGTTTGTTCTGTTTCACATTGAGGAAATGAGGGTCAAGGTCCTCAAAGAGTGAGCTGGCATGCATCACTGTCTCTCTCAAACACTAACACATCGCCACAACCGAGAGATTCACACACTCACA